ATTCTGTCTAGAAAATTGGTACTTAAGCAGGCCAGTGTATCTCACCAAATATTTCTTGGGAATTACCATTTTGCAATTTTAGATACAATAATTTACTCATTATACTTTAATTTGGTAGAGCTTCCGCAACATGATTTTCATTTATTCTGGTTTTCTTTGTGATGATTCAAATTTTGGGAAAGGATGAGGATTAAAAACTGATAAATAGAGATCTCTTGATATGTTAATCTATTCTATATACTGACCTGAATTGGTGTTTAAAAGGAATATTTTTGGATTGATTTTTTTTCTTTTACTTGAGAAAGTTTCGAAAGAAACAAAAAGGGCTTCTAACTTTATGATGTTGTCCTAAACAGGCCAATCTAGAGGGAGGATAAATAGTTTGATATGTGATATTTGACTACATCTAAGACTTAATCTGACTTGGAAAAACTTCATCAAATTAGAATAGGACAAAACAGTAGCAAACTCCAAATATATTCCAAATTATATAATGCTTGGAATAAAGTAAAAAATTTAATCAAATATCAAAGTAAGCGCAACATAGATAATATCAAAACTTGGTGTAAATATTCAAGTTAACTCTTAACACGAAAAATAAAGTGCAGCAAAAATAAAAGAGAGTAAACAGTTGACAATAATAAACAAAACTAATTAGTATTTGATTTTGTTATTTAGGTGTAATGATAGTTTTAGATTAAAGTGTTAAGTGGCATAAGAATTGGTTTCATAGTTAATTTCATTGTTGAATTTGTACAGGTATGCAAAAGTTGAGTTCATTGTGATAGTTGATTAGATAGCACTATTTATAGGCTTTGTGGTCGGTTGGTCTACGTGTACAAAACACTTAAGAGTGATAGATCTATTAAAGTTTAGTTATATTTGGACACATATTTTGCCTTCCGCATTCTGTCGTTTATGATAAACAAAAGCCTTATAGCCTGTTATATTCATTCGTTATCAACTATATTCTGACTACTTGTTTCTTGATTTGCAAAAATATATTATCTTCTGCTGTATATTTTTTTATGCTAACAAGCCATATCCCAACTATGGATTCAAGAATTTGATTCGAGAGTGTCTAGGATGCCTATGCCATAGTGATAGTTATAGAGTTTGTGGTAGAGTACTCAAAAATCGGAAAATGGAACCACTATGGAGTTAGTTTTGAGATACTCGTTTATTGGTTGACAAATAAAAAAAAAATTGCCCCTAACTGAACAAAGATTTGAAAACAGGGACTATGCTGAAATTATTTCTATTATTGTAGGTAGTGATATTTAATACAGAAGTGTCTTAAAAAGTATTGTTAGGGTGAATTCAATAATGGTTTTCAAACGAAATTCTGAAGAATAAGAAAAAATTACTTTTTCAAGAATATGCATATCTATGGGTGGAGAATTTTATAAAAGATTTTTTCTCACTTCTAAGTCATCCATCTTTTTTTGGTTGATGTTTTTTATATTTTAAAGGAATTTCCATATGAATCTAATCACAAGTCAAAAACTGGCTTGGAATGGGAAGTTAATTCTAAAGAGGTTTTGTTTATTGGCAATGGAGAAATTTCTAAAGATTTTAATGAGCATGAAAACTTTGATTTGCACCAATTATTTGGGGTGATTGATGACAAAAAATTTTGTTACTGAAGGCATTGATTTGGATGATGACAAAAAAAAATATTCTTTAAATCGTGGAGTGGATAAATCTATTAGAATTTATATGGTGGAAATTATTTTTGGCAAAAGGAAAGGTATGATTTCTTGGGTTTTGAGAATTGTGTGGTTGGTGGTTATCATGGATATGGTGATTATAATGGTGAATGAGTCAGCACAAATGAATTTTCTTGTTAATAGTGAACTGGCTGCCAAATTGTATGCAAACTACAAGCCTATTCCATTAATACAAGTGAAGACAAAAATTTTGAATTACAAATTGGAGTTGCGCGAAGTCGACGCTATAATAGAGTTTGCATTGGAGATTGTTACTCATGATGGCATTACTGATGATATCCATAAGAGTTTAGTTTAAGGATTGAGTTTATTATTTAGGTATTATTATAGTTTTAGGTTTAATAGTTAAAAGTGGTATAGGAATTGGTTTCATAGTTAATTTGGTCATTGAGTTTGCATACGTACATGAAAGCAATGTCCATTATGGTAGTTGATTAGATTGATTGTATTTTAAAGGCCTTGTTATTATTACCCAAATTTAAATGTTATAACTTTTCTCTATTGTTTTTGTTATAGTATTTTAAGTGATCAAATTTTTTCTTGAAAGTCTTGATTTTCTTGTTTTCCCTTTTGAATTAGTTTTTGTCTAACTAGCAGTCATGATTTCTCTAAAGTATGGGGGCAGGACAATTTAAACTGTAACATTATAGGTCAACCTGCTACTGTGGAAAATGACGTACATATCAGAAAAGTTTTCTTAACTCTCCTTGTTCTTTGATTACTTGGACTACAAAATCAAATCAAATTATGAGGTAAAGTAATGAAAAGATTTGTCAATAACAATATAACAATAATGTTAGCAGAAAACCACCATAAAAAGTAATCAGTAACATAAACTGTTCCTAAAACATACATTATGGAGGGCTTTATAATCAAGATATTGAATGCCAATCCAGTCATTGATTCAACAAAAAATTAGAAAAAGGATCATTAGTTCCACAGTTGGACAACCATTATTAATCCGCATCATTATTATAAACATCAAAAATATGCAAATAATTGTAGAAACTTTGTTTATGATATCAAAATTAAATAGTTCATCATCATTCTAATCTTTGAAGTATTACTTAATTGACACACAAAATTAATTTTTATAAACAAAAGGTGAAAGAATTGTAGATAGCACTATTTCTTACCTTTTTAATTTTTACACTTCCAATGCTCCTAAATTATATGAATAATAATTTACAAGATAGGTATGAAAAGAATAGAAGGCAATGATAAAGAAATTATATGCATTAAAGAGTTAAAAAATTAAATATTCTATATAGGTTGTAAATGTTAGATAATAGTAAAGATGCAATCCTGGAATACAGACAAAGATGAGTAGAATAAGGCAAGAGTTATTATTGTTTAATTAATTGGAAACAATTATGCACCGGTAAGTGGTAATGTTTAAGCCTAGTCGGGTAAGATGCCTAACATGTAACCACAGGTCACTTAAGTGATCAAGGGGACTTAAGTGATCAAGGGGGTAAGTGGAGCACCAAAAATTTTTGGGTATTAAACACTCCAAATCAAATTCATCGCGGGACGGTGAAATAAGTGTTTTGGACCCTTGAATCATAAAAGTTTCAATATTTAAAACACAAACTAATATCATTATTTAGAGAATGGTTTCCTAAAATGATCATATAATTTTTTTAAAAAATTATAATGTGATTTATTGACTAAATTTAATATTTTTGGCTTAATTAAAGTTGGTAATGAACGGTTGGTTCACTCAAAACCATTTTCGATTCAATAGTTCAATCAGTCTCTATTGAATCTACATCCTGTCTACCTTTAGGTAACAAAAACAATTCTTTCTATCCAGTCACTAAAACCTATCACAGAGTCAGCAATTAGACCATCCCAGTTCAGCAACAATTATTCACTCATCGTTTTCCCATGGAGAGTTAAAATTTTTCAATGAAATGACATTCCACCCCATATTTGCAATCCTATTAAATTCGTACAGTGGTGACCCAGCCATTGTGTATGTTGACAAAAAAATGGAGTCCTAGGATATATAGGTAAAAAGCAAGTCCCTAATTTTCAGAGTCGAAAGCTCAACATCTCTGGTGAATTCAGTGATAAAGGATAAGGCAAATTAAAACTAACATATGTTCGAACTTTCTAAATGATATTCAGTAAGTTAATGCCTGCATGATGGAGTACTACATATGGTGATCCTCTAAGGGCTATATATAAGCGAACATAGCAACGCTTAGAGCATCATGTAATACCAAGTACCAAGCCAACAGAACAGCAGCTAATGTGAAATATTGCAGTGATATTATGTTTCACAATCAGCATTCAAATGTTTTCGGCAGGGCTGATTTGGCAGGGGACGGGAGGTGTTGGGAAGCAAAACCCACAGAAGGACAATTCACAATAACAGATGTCCCCTTCAGATATATTACTTATTGGACGAAACAAGATGACAATAATCTTGAAGCAATTCTTATGGCAACAAGTGAAAAACGAATTCGTTGCAGGAAGAAAAAAGAAATAAGGAGACAAACTTTTCTTTCAAAGCAATCATGCACTTCATTATCAAATTCTCTTGGTCCATCTCACGTGGCAATTTATACAGCCTCATATAGACTCATCTCTGGACAAAATAGTCAAATAGATAATTGGACACGACCTTTCTTTAGTTCAATATATGCATATGAGACACGTGATGCAAAAATTTCAAGCTCAATTTGCTTCAACACAAGCCGGAACCATATACTGCAAAAGTTATCCGCTTTATCTATCACTTTAAATTTTTTTTTTTTTTTGTTTTTTTTTTTATCAAAACGGCAACATTTATCTATCACTTTAATTAAACGTAACAACTCATACTCCTAAAATCAATTTCCCTTTCAACTTTGCCTTTAAGGGCAGCAAAAAAGAACTCTAAAATCCCATTTTCTTCATTATGCTTAACTGGAAAATGAAATCACTAGAACCCATCACAAATTAAATGATCTGCTGATCATAACAATAAAGTATCATTTTAACTTTGCCAAAATCATAAACACTGTTCAAGCAGCACAAAGCAAACATTTCTGAACTCTCTCATAATACATGAAATATTACCATAATCAACATCTAATACTAATATTCATATTCATATTAAACACATCCCATAGTCTAACATAACATTCATCAACACCTCAACTCCCTAAGCACCACAAAAAAACCCCATAACCCAAAAACATCCAAACTACTAATCTCAAAACCCAATAGGCCATAAACAAGTACTATTAGGGAGTATATTTACCCACTGTTGATCCTAGATTAATCCTCATATTCATCGGCATCCAAACGCCTGCCAATCTCAAAGGAAACAAAAGCATCCACACAGGCATACTGGACTTGATCAGGATTCAACCAGCGGCTATCCCACCTACCCATAGTCACCCATCTGGGCTTCTGAACTTCTCTCCCAAGCACCAATCTAGCCAGCTCTTTCATCCCAGTATTTCTCAGTTCCTTCCTATCATACTCACCAGCAGCCAACCGACGCAAGTCCACAATCCTCCCACTAACTTCCAGCCCATAATCCCCCTCCAGATTCTGAACATCGTTCTGGATCCCAACTCCGACGAAAGTGTAGTCCTCCTTGGCGAGAAAATCTCGGAGATCCTCGGGAATGAACTCGTCCTCGTTGTACTCGCGGGAACAGCGGAGGATTTGGAAGACGAGGCAACGGCGGCCCACGCAGAGCTGGAGAGTGGCGACTGGGTTCCTGTGGTACTTGCTGAAGCTGGGACGCCACTCAACGTCGAGGCCGACGATGAGGTTGTTCAGACGATGGCGGTGGATTCTCTGGGTGTGGGAGAGCCAGCGTGAGACTTGGGAAGGGTCGTGGGTGACCATTGTGTTGATGCGGTCGGAGTAGAAGTAGATGTCGTAGAAGTCGTGGCTGTCGTCAGGGATGTCGTGATCCTCTATTCCGATTTCCATGGCTGATGGAGTGTGTTTTCAGTGTGTGACTCTGTGTGTGTGTGTCTGTGTGTTTCTTTGGCGGTTGGGAGCGGATGGATCAGCGGAGTGCGTTTTGAGGGAGAATTTTTTGGCCTTTTCGAAGCTGGGAAGAAAATGGAAACTCCCGATGGAAAAAGTTGATAAAGCCAGAATGGGGTCAATTACCGTATGAACTGTACAAAGTACAATGCACTACTATGTATTTAGTATACTAGGGAGGGACCGCCCCCGCGACGCGCGGGAATTTGGTGCTTGTGATTCAAGATAATTAATAATTATTGTATAAGAATTGAAGTATGATGATTTTATCATGTGATTTTAATAGAAAAATCATAAGTTACATAATGAGTCAAAAAAAATAATGTGCAATGAGACATCCTTATCGTTATACTATATAAGAATCCGTTGTGATCAAAGGTTATGTTTGAATTTCAACTGCAAAGATAAGGATAGTTTGAAAATGTAAAAATGTTTGAAGTGCAATTGAAAAGTATCCAAAGGTCTCTTCTAAAACTTTTTCAAGATGATAAAACATTTTAAAGTATCAATTGGACCCTTCATCTCTCGAATCTATATATGTTCGTGAAAGATTCCTCAAGCAATGCTTCTGATTTCTCCCTCAACTTAAGCTCAACCTGAATTATCAAGTCAAGTTTATCCATCAATCACTTTGCATCCAATCTAATCTAAAATAATTTTATTTTTGACTAACTATTTATATAATTTGGTGGGCATAATACGACTTAATCACATGTTTCTTACAAAGATAATAATGCCCAAAAATGCTAGATAGATAAGAAACTTAAGTGGTTTTTTTCAAAATTTTGTAGAAACTATTCAAATTTGGTGTTTTTTGCTAGGGGCATTTCTTTATAATCTCATAAATAAGTTCAAATTTGCATAATTGTTAAAGATCTGAATTGAAACTATCTTGATTATAAAAAATTGGTGCAAATAATATTTTCTAAAATTGAAATTGTAGAAAATGGTAACTAAAATCAGAAGAAATTCCTCATATGAATTTGAATTGCAATCTATAGGTAGAAACTGCTTAATGATATTTTCCAATGTTTACTTGTATAAGTATCCAATATAACATCTCTACTTAATTGACTCGTTTGAACTATGGATAATAGTTGCTTCAATCAAATCAAGAACCATTATTTATCATTGTACAACATACAATTATGAGTAAATGAATTAATACAATGCAATCAAAATGGTGTTGTAGCTAAAGCATTTAAACTTATCAAGATTCACTACAAATTCTTTTAGATAGCATAAAAAAGTAAATTTTTTGTATTTGAAACTATATAAACAGTATAATACAAGAACGAGATCATAACATGGAAAGCAAATAGAGTGCAAATGACTTCTTAGTACTATATAGCATGATTAATTTTCTTTTTTAGTTTCAAAGAAGTACAAAATTCTAAGTTAATAAATTTTACAATCATAAAATTTCCAATTAAAATAAAGACAAGTTGAATTCCAAATCATATTACATGAAAAAATAACTACTTGAACCATAACTGCTGGAATGTAGTCAACAGATCCCTGGAGTCAAGAACAATAGGAGAAAGTTCATGAGAAATAAGGTTATTTGACTTAAATAAAGAGATAATACCTTGGCCGAGGAGGAGAAGATGATAAAATTGCTTTTCTGATTATTTTAGAAAGTGACAACATTATCTCAAATTGTACTTTGACCAGAGACAGAATCTCTGAGATCTACTAAGGAAAACAATACAATTAGTCAGTTTTTGGAATTAGAAGTATCAAAAGGCAAACTATATGGAGTTCTTGAATAAACCAATCATAGAAAAAAAAAACTACAATCGAAGAAGATAAACCCAAAGAACTCACCTCAATTTAAAGGAAAAGCTATGCATTCCACCAAATATTTAATAGCCATAATAAAATCAAAGAGGCGAAACCGAAAAAGAAGAAAGGGTATCGGCTAAACATGGGGGCATAAATATGATAATGATTGTTTAGATAATAATTAAGTTAATTAATTGTAATTAAAATCCAATTATGTAAACATCCAATTAATTTCTTAACGGATGAGAAAGGTTTCAGGAAATTGGAAGGCTTGGATGTTAGTATAATAAATGATTAAAAGGACTTTTATGTAATTCTATCAAAACACAAGCTTTATTCAGTTGTACTTGATACTCAACTTGACACCAAACATTGTAACATACCAAACTTGCCCCTAACTTTAAATGTCTGAAAGGTTATATAAGTAATTATAGTGAAATTAAAGCTATAATGACTTGTACTCAATATTCCAATTATTCTTCAAACACTTTCACATTCCCAAAATAGCCTCACCCCTGCGGTTAAAATCTGGTCCTAAACTCGTTCTTATATAGTATAAGGATACAAAGTATATTGAAACGATATAATATATATAGTTGTATACTTATATTGACGTGCGCGGGGTATACATATAATATTAAGCTCATCCCAATCAAGTTTTACATTTATAAATTCCTAAATACCCCACACGCGATTTATCGCAAGTATACGAATCGTGAGCGAGTATAGGGTATTAAGGGATGATCCCACAGGGAAGAATGCAATTACTGATGTTTTCAAATTCCTTTATTATTTAGACTACCACAAATATAAAATTTAAGAAAATAACGCTAGAAAGCTCCTAGAGATATGGAATTCCTTACTACTCTTGCAAATGAGATTATCGGTTAAGTGAATGCTATTATCTTGATTAGTTATGGCGTAATTTCCTAATGTATGTGAAACCTACTTTCGTAGTGAATCAACTATACTTGTAATTAAGCCATACCTACTCTCGTGGTTATGAAATTAACTACAAGTTCATTTCTTCTATGAAATTACATGAAACAAGTCACTTAAGCCGCATAGGTGCACCTCTACTCTCGTGAGTGTACTCCCTAGGCTTATCACTTCTTTGAACTAGTGTTAAATTCCAATTTTCATTTCAAACTTAACACCTTAAGATTATCATAATTAATGGCCAGTTAATCATGATTAGATAACCAAAAGTGATAAATAACGTGCTCAAAATAATATCACCAAATAGCCAAGTAAACCTCACAAACAAAATACAGCAAGTTCAACCATAACTCTAGGCATAAACTTTAACTAAACATAATAAAAATAAATTCCAGAACTTGCATAATAACCATAGTTAAGAATCCAATACAAAAGATAAAGAATTGGAGTAGAGATAACCCATGTCACTTGAGCTTCAACTCCTCCTTCTTCATCTCAATCTTCATCCTAATCTAGTTATTATACAAGAATGGATTAACTACACTTACTACACTATCCTACACTAAGGAAATGAAAGAACTACATTTCTGCACTTCAAGTTCTCTCCCGTATGATTTTCAATCTCCCTGCATATAAGCTGATGAAAAGCTCCTCTCTAGTCCACATTTGCTGCTCTAAGGATTCTCAAATCTGAATTTGTTAAGATAGTCAATAACCATTGTTTTTGACTTGAAAATATGCCAACTTTCTTGCCCTTTTGTCTTCTAAAGCATGTGCACCGAATTCTCTTGCAACTTATAGATGGAAAGTAGTCAGAGCACAAGAGAATTGACTGAGCAAATTGCAGAATTGCGGCCAGAAAACGCGCCTACACAAAACGCGGTTACAAGTCACGTTTTGTGTACTCGCGTATTCACTTTGTCCTTAATTCAACTGAAATTTTCTCTATCATAAAGGCTGAACTAGCTTTTGTATAAAACACCAAAGTTGTAGCCCTTTGAGTTAGCTTTCCAATGCTATAAAAATCATCCAGATCGGAGCTTTGTAGCCTGAGATATGACCAAAATACTAAAGACTGGTCAGAACTCTGTTTTCCACTTTGGACAGCTGAGTTGAATTTCGGTATTTCAACCTTTGGACTATGAAAACGGCTGAATTGGACTTTGATGTCTTCATGCCAAATGTAGATATATCTCTTAGCTTCAAAATGGTACCAAGATCACCTTGATCTGATCAGTGTAGCTCCAGATATAGTCAAAATACCAAAACGTGTCAGAGTTGTCAAACCTGACTTTTCTTGATTCAAATTGCATTTTTCTTTTTTTACACTTCATATTTTATTTTCACCACTTTAATCCATCTTCAATCATCCAAATATCTTCTCAATGCACTTCATTTGATGATTGAATCATTAAACCTACAAAATATGAAGTTTTTACGATAAAAATCAATAAAATGCAATGTTTAGCCATTTTAACATAAAATGTAGTTTTTTACCAAAACCTTAGTTATTTTAGTTATAAAACTAAATAATCAAACCAAAATTAACTAATAAAACACACTAAAAAATACGTAAAATATATTCTTATCATATATCTATATAAATTTGAGAAGGGATTTTTAGTGTAAAGGCTTCCTAGACCTCCAAACTCACCGTTCCTTTTTTCGTAAATTTTTTATTTATTTAAATTCACAAAATCTATTCATTCCAATCAAATGCATTTGATTTCAAAATTTTTAAATGCATTTCCTTTCAAATTTTTTAATTATTTCAAAAGCTTCCACAATGTAGCACACCAAACTTTGCTGATCCTCTACGTTTTTAGTGGATTGACATGTATATTTTGATTTAACAATTTGAATTCAGCACAACCTCCTTCTGCACTTTGACTATTGACAACAATAAAGAAATTAGTATAATTGAACATGGATTCCAAACATGACCGAATGCACATTCTATCCTTTTATCTAGATACAAAATCTTTTTTAGTTTTGATCAAACTGAATCTATTCTCAAACATGTTATCCGATATATATATATTAATTCGTTAGTTGTACATTACGTCAATTTATTTTAAAATATCATCTAAATATTTTGATATTTTTCATATAACACAACTATATTAAAAAGGATGTATAAACAATATTTTGATATTTTCCTCTTATCTTGATATTTTTTGCATATACAGATATAAATAAATAAATGTGCATTTTAA